GATCTTGCAAAAAATTAATACAAATCTAGATCTAAAAAACAATGAAGAAATAAAAACAAAAAGCACAATCCCAAACATTGCACTACTAGAAACCTTTGCCCTTCAAAAACAAATTGTAGTGCCCTTCACCTCCACCAATGTGAGTGCTCGAAATATAGAAATAGATATATTAATTGAGGTCTAGACTTGTGCTTATATACATGAATAAATGGACCAGATTTAATCCCAAATGGATAGTCTATATGCTAGAATACTATAATTAGTGTATTTACAAACCTTATTTTATTTATAGCAAAATATAAGACTAATCAAAATTTGGCAGAACTATTGAATCAAGTACAAAGACATAACTTTCTTCTCTTTTTTGGCTTTTTAATTGCATATTTTGCAAAGAAACATTTACCATTAGATAAATGGGCTGCCAAGAATTTATAGATGGTTTTACTATTGCTAGGATTATAATTTCATGGTCAATGACTATATTGTTATATAAACAACATAGTTCGATTTGATGTAAACATTTCTGGAATAGGATGGTGATGATGCATCAATTCCATCCCCCCTTTAGGAATTTCCTCCACTGCCTACGAAATACAAGCACTTCCAACTTCACATGAAATGGTTCCTAAAAACATCATCAAGGGAAATGCAAGGGCTGAGAAGGCCAATCTACTTACTACAATGCCTTTAGGAGATCATGTAAGTTATTCTAATGGTTGAGAGCACTGAGCTGAAGGCATCAAGGCTAAAATCTTGTAGAGTATTGAAGCTATGAAGGCAAAGGTTATGGAGGAAACTACTAGAACATTTGAATTTGTACAGGTGTCAATTGAAAATTGAACCAAAGAACTTTGAGGCAACCATAATAATTCATTTAGTATTTCTTATGACAAAGTTTAGCCAGTTTTTTCAAATTTCTTACATATATCTTTTTTTCAAAATCTATAACATAAGAACTTAGTGTGCAAATAAGTTGGAATAAATACATATCCATACATTGCATGCACGGACTTACATCTGATTTTTGATCTCTGGCTGTAGAGCTTGCAGGCTGATATAGAATGCATGGCATAGCAAAAATTATATATATCCTCTTTTTACTAACTTTTACATTTATTAAAACAAATTACATATACAGAGTTTCCCATAGTTAATGCACCCCATAGTGCTTCAAAGGAATTACCAACAATGGAAGGGCATCAAAAAAGCCACAATCTCGCAATGCATGAAAAACAAATCACACTACAAATGGATTGTGCAAAAGAAGTGTTTATTAAATTTGTGGTCAGATTAAGCACCAACACAAACTACTCATCTCTTTGCTAAATCTATCTTTACTTGTTTCATATATACCAGATGGGTATTGAAATCTATACCAGCAATCCAACTCTTTGGATCTAAAAGTGACAATATGATTCCTGTAGTCAATTATTGCTGAGTGCTTATGAAGCCAGTCAATCCCAAGAAATATGATCTCTCTGGAATCTTCTATACCAGTAAAATTTCTTCTTTCTAAAAAGTTTCCCAAGTTATAACATAAATTCTCAACTCCATAACCATGTTTCATTTGAACATCTGGAGTTAGCCTTTCTGCGAAATACTTGGAATCATGAACTACTTTAACCCCAAGTTTCCTGATAAGTTTAAGTGATATTCCAGAACTTGCACAACCATTATCTATTTCAATTCTGATATTCTGATCATTGATTCTCCCACTGTACTCTACGTGATGAAAAGCAGTACATATATGTTGATTTATTCTCTTGTATTTTCTGGACTTAAATAAATTGTAATCGCCCATGAGGCAATATATGGTACCATTAACCTCAAATGTTAGAGTACTTATAGTGCCACTGCAGTCTAACTCTAAACAGTGTTTATGTATCCAAGGTGAACCCAAAATTATATCATGATCTAGAATCACTGGTAAGACGGTCAAAGTCCTTGTAACTTCACAATCCTCTATCATAAACTTGAAATCCTTAACTTGTGAATTACTGTCGACAGTAATATTAAACTCATCCACCAACTTCTGAGAAATAACATCATCACAACAACCAGAATCCCAAACTATATCCAGTTTCCTTTCAAGCCCAGAGTCTCCAACTAACCTTCCAAAAGCTTTTGCCATCGAACCCTAAATTTACAGAATCATAGAAGCATCAACCCTTTAAAGACTCGTCCCTTTTTCTGGCAGTCTCCTTTTGCTGCGAGGACATCCTCCCCAGCCACAACCGCAATCACGGCTTGAAAGTTTCCTTAAACCTGGATTTTGGTTCACAATCTTCTGCCTGAACACTCAGTATTGCGATGGATTTCACCAGCAAGCTGGCATTGAGATCCCTGGCCGGAGTGAACAAGTCAACAACTTACCCATGGAATCTTCCACCATACGAGGAGACTAGCAATAAAGACTTGTTGGTTGTCGCAGCATTCAAAGAACGTAGCCTAATTTACCTTAAGAAACCACAGCTTCCGCAATGCCCAACCAAGGAGCAGTACTTGCAATCTTTCTCTGGCATCAGAAAAATTCATCCGTTACACTCGGGCATGAGCTCCAAACATTTTCAAGCGCCTCCACGATGATCATTCCGGGATATGCCTTGATCGTGTTCCAAGAAGTAACGTCGCTCAAAGCCTCCTCGAGTCCACTAGCTTGCCCGCCTATTGGCCACGATTCATGGGCATCGTATACGTCGCGAATAGCCTCTCGTCTGGCCGTGGTTTAAGTAGGCCAGCCTCTTCGGCTTTTTGTCCAGCGTAGCAGCCGCTTCCCCACTTGTGACCAGGAGTTTGATCCTTGCGAACTTTGACAGGATCCTCCAAAGCTTCTGAATCCTAACACAGGAGATCCCTCGAGATCAAATAAAGCCACACGTAAAAGACTTGAAAACCTGGTCGCGTTTGTCGCTTAAATCGTTCTTTTGGAGAGCATCGTCCCGTGAGTTGTCAAGAAAGCTCAGATACTTCCCAAGAAAGCTCCCCTTCACCTCGCTAAGTTTCTGCTTAGACACTTCATGCTTGAGCCAGTTGTCAAGTGCAACCCGGTCACACTCCATAGCTTCTTTCACATTTCCCAGAACGAAGCGCCTCTCCCCTTCTTCGAGCCGAGCGTGCTCTGGAACCTGGACCGAGCTGCTCTGTTCGACCAAGGATTCGATAGGAAGCCCTTCCCATTCACCGGCATTGTCCGGAGAGCATTGGCCTGGAGCGCACGGAGAAAGTTTGGATCGTGCCACGGCGGCAGGGGCGAGTGATTGAGCTGCCGGAGGGAGACGAGTGAGGAAGCAAAGGAGGAGGAGAAGGAGTGGCGAAATTGATGTCCCTGGCGGTGCCGGCGCCAGGCCTCCACTCCATACCGTCTTCTTGACGCCATTTATGGCCAGATCATGCTAAAAGCCTTCTTCCATATGCCCGATCTGGGCAAGTGCTGCTATCCTTCCGGTCCAAGTGATTTCTTACTCGTTTCCAGCACTCGATCATACAAACTGCTAGCCTCCTCCATCTCGACAAGCTAAACATAGACTGTGATCAGATCGCTCCATGCAAATGGATCCAGGGACCTACAGTGATCAAAGAAGCACGATCATGATCCAGATACCCGTTTTAGGCATATGCTCTAATCGATTGGGGCGATCAATCGCGGAAAAACACGGCGCACATTTCCCAGACTGCTTAGCCGGTGTCCAATAACATCCTCTGATCGAGACCTCGCGACGAGCGTGGCCATCCCTGTTTTCTCACAACGCTCAGTGCCCCAAAGGCGAGGAATTCTAGGGTTGTTGTCATTTAAGCACAAGCTCTTCTCCCAGTCGCTGCCGCGCTGCATTTGATTGCAGGAGTCGGCTATGGATTCTCGCAAGAAATTGGTAAACTTGTTTTCTCTAGAGGAATCTTTGCTGTTTCAGACAGAATGTCACTATAGCTTCCTGCGAGGAAATCAGTAAATTCATGAGTTTTTTTTTTTTTTTGCATAGCTTGAAAATTATGCTTTTTTTGTTTGAGAAACTTTGAAGTCTTCCTTTGAGAAACTTACTCCGGCTGGGTTTGTTCTTCGCAGCACCGGTGCTAGAATCGTCACTGCTGCTGCCGCACTGCTGCAAGACGAGGTCGGTGATTCTTTCTCTCTGGTTGTGCTCGCGTTTAACTTCTTCCACCTTGTATAGATCGGACAGGCCCCTGGCACAGCATCGTCAGGCGTATCTTTGTGGAGCTGGAAGTCACCGCACAGCTCCTAGTGTCCCACACATCGACGTCCCGCGACTTCCCCTTGATTTGCTCCAGCCACTTCGCCGATATGTGCTGCTCGCTTCTCACGCTCGTCAACTTGGCTTACCAGCTTGGATGAGCGCCGTTGGAAACCGACCATACCTGGCCTTTCTTCGCCTTGAGCAGCGTCCAGTCGGCGTCGAAGTCGTAAGTCCCGAACGCCTGCTCCATGGGCGGAGGGCGATCGTCTCCTCCCAGGAAGTTCTCGGAGAGGAGAAGCGGCCTCTCTTGCTGCTCGGGACCTCCTCCTCCCCGTGGTCGTCGAACCTGTAGCAGAGGATGTTGCGCTGGAAGCTTGTTCCTTCCTCGGCCGCCGGTTTCTCGCTGGCTGGCTTCTCACTCGCGGGTTTCTCTGGGGCCTGCTGCTTCACAGGCTTCGAGTATTCTGCTTCGCTGTCTGGAACTTCCAGGATTCTCCATTCAGCTCATCATCCCTGTCTGGAACCTCGTCACCTTCCTTCGCATCGCCGCAGCTAGCCGCGGACAATCCTTCTTCTGGCGTTTCACATTCACTTGACCTTTTTTCTAGCGATCTCTTTTGGACAGCATCCTTGCTTCCTGGATTACGGTTCAAAAACTCGTCGATCTTCCTGGCCCTAGGAAACTTAACCAAAATTTTTTTTTAAAAAAAAACACTTACTGCTTGCAACGAGAAATGGAGAAATGCCAGCATAGAAACTCTTAGAATTGAAAAAAGAAAACTAGAAGCCAATGAAGCTTAGAAGTATAGCTAGCCAGTCATCAAGAACGTGGATTAGGCTTGAATTACCCATAGATCAATCAATCTTAAAGATTCACTGCTCCGGCGGCTCCACCAGCGGTTCCTGGGGCTGCTGTGGCGCCTGGGGCTGCTGTGGCTGCCGTGGAATCAGTGGATTCCTCCCTGGATCACAAGATCGCAATCGAAATTTCAACATGCAAATGAAAAATACCTCTCTCCTCACGCTTCGTGGTTTCGTGGATCAGCCACGCTTATTTCACGGCAGAAACAGGGCGGGGAGGCGCCTTGGGCGTGTGGCGCCTCCCCGCCCTGGGCGTGTGGCGCTTTCCCGGCTTCTCTGTCGCCGTCTTCCCTGCCGCCATCGCTCTTCTCGCTCTCTAGCTTCCGCTCAAATGAATATACCCTATTCCGATATTTGATACCCCATTTTGAAATCACTTAATGGATATACCTAAGATACCGTCACTTTAAATTTTTTTACTTCTTCTTCGAGCTCGCTAACAAAGGAAGTGTTGAGGAGATGATTCCCCATGTTTCTCAGTGGAGCGCAGCATTCCATCGCAATTTCACTTCCATGAGCTTTGTGCCGCCTGTGAGCACAAAGAGCTTCGTGTCAGCGAAGCTACCGGTCGAGTTTTGATGCCTCCGGGTCGGGCGACTTCACTATTGGGCGACTCTGTGCTGCTGTTGCTTCTTTCGGCATCACGTAGAGATTTCCCAGCGCGTAGACTGCCTCCTCCTCTTTCACGTCGAAGATGGCTACCGCGAGCAAATTTACCAGTGAGTTTTCATGCATGGAGGCCAAAATCTACCTTCAGGACCGCTCTATGATTGGTGCGCTCCAACAACACCACCAGGAAGATATCCCTTGAGAAAAGCTTCTAGGATATAGAATGTTACCACCAGCAGCAATCACGGCATCACTTCATCTTGTTGTCTCCACAAACTATGCTCCCGATATCTCGTAGCACCTGACACAAGGTATTGAGAAAACAACAACAAGAAAACAAAAACTTACAGGGCTAAGAACTGTAAGCTGGTTGGCTATTGCCCGAGAGGTAACAGTTCCTTTGTATCAGAGAGAGCACTGATGTAGACGAGTAGGGCGCGTTTGTCCGGACACCTTGGAACCTTCCGACTTGCAAGTGAAATTTAGCCTGCATACACGCCGTGAGTGGCTTTGAAGAGCAAAGAAACAACTCACTCACAACCTTGTAAGTTGTCACTATCCTATGAGGACTTGGAGGAGAAAAAGTATTAATCCTGCCAAACCTGCTGTTATGAGATAAACAAGATGGTGTTGCAGTACCGGGCAATGTGAAGCGTAGAGATCGTTGCAAACGCAAACTATCTGTGCCACAAAAGCTGGTCAGGTTCTCTATACGACGCAATCTTACGGGTCTAGACAGTCGAGAGATGGCAGTCTTCTTTCTTTGAGGTTTGGACATTTTTATCGTCGTTATCATTTCGAGAGACAGCCTTCGCCTCTGCAGTAATCTGTAGGAAAAAAACAAAGAAAAAGAAGGAAACATTGCATCAAGGTTTAGTAATTTGAATACGTACCAGACCAACTAAAAAACCCCTTCCCAGCCAAATTGTCTGGTAAAATTACTGCTCTGTGGAAGATTTACTGAATTGACAGATTCTTGATGAAATAGATGGAGCGGTCAGAATCCCCTGTGACTGTCTCGATTTGAAGAGCATCCAAAGTTTCGGTCCGAAAAGAAGACGCTGTGCGATCATCACATACGAGGAACTTGTGCAAGTGTCGTCTTTCCAAGGCCCGGCGAGCCACATAAAAGAAGGACCTGCTTAAAACAAGCCATAAAACTGCTGTACATAAATAAGTACCTTCTGATCTCTTGCCGGTCACCTGAAGAACTCTTGTTATCGTTGACGCTGTTCCGTTTGTTCTTCGCCTCATATCTTGTTATTGTCTTTGAGAACCTCTAAGTGTAGAGTGCCTTCTAACACCGTATCCGCAACTGTTTCAGCCAGCTTAAGACCTACTAATGAAAACGTTACACACAATTTACCTCTCGATTGATCCGTTCATCGCTTAAAAGCTCGGGAACGACTTCAGCGAGTATTGATCAACCCATAGCCTCTCCCTCGAGACAGCGATGAGATCTCTTTCCTTCTCAGCGAGCTCGCAAGCCTTCGAGAAAATCCATGAGAACAAACTGATCAACAACGAAAAATAGTCATACTTGATCGCAAAGTCGAGTTAAATTTATCAAGCGAGCATACCTTTTTATTATCAGAGAAGTTTCTATCAACTTCTTGCTCCAACCACGGTTCCGTCAAAAGTCTCTTCGCGACAATTTTCTTCCCCGGCAATCTTCGAGAACAATGATACTGTCCTCTACGACGGCAATTGGAGTCTTTTACGCTACAGCATCGTCGACTCCACGCACACATCGGGAACCACAAGTTTTCTCTTCACTACGGGAAAAGGAAAAAATCCATGAGATCCTGGGAAAATTTAGGCCAAACCTGGCAGATCGCGCTGCGCATCCACGCCGCCGCCCGCATTCACATCCTCAAACCCTTCCCTGCCCTCCTCAAATCCATCGGATCTGATCAAAGAACGCTTCATCCATGAGAAGCGCTTCGTCCGCCATGGCCCGATCTTGCCATCCAGTCAAGCTCAGCGCCTCCATAGCCGCCACAAGGCACAGGTTTTTGGCCCAAATATTCTGTTTAGATGCTAAAGATATTCCGTTTATTTTCAAAAGATTCCGGTTAAGAAAAACAGTATCGCATTTGATCATAGCCAAAAGGAAGGCTTCTGATCCCCCCAGGGATCCTAATTCTGTTCATATTCATATTCCTTTACTATATTTAAAATAACTTTTCATATAATTTTCAAGATAATTACATATCTACAGTTTTGTTGAAATCATCATTTCTCCCATATCTCGAGAGTTCCAAGAGACTGGAAAATAGTTCATGAGACCTTGTTACAACTAATTCTTGTGCTTTGACACAAAGCATGACAAGATGTCCTTCCTGACACATGAATATTAATTAGTTGATTCTCTCAATGGTTACCTCTCCTGAATATATTTGCCATGAGGATGTAAGCTGAGCTATCACCCCTGTCCTCCAGCTCCAAAAACTTCCCAAACGCAAACCGAGCCACCTCAATGTTATTCCACTTTGAGCATATGCCCAGGAGCGTTGTCCAAGTCCGGGATGTCGGCGTAAACGGCATTTTCTCCACAAGACCAATTGCCTCTTGGAACAAGTTTGCTCGGCCCAGCATGCTGATTGCTGAGTGATACAAGTTTTGGTCTGGCACAGTCTCGTAGACTGCTGCATTGAACAACTTGTTGCCTTTTTCAATGAGGCCTGAGCAGCTACAAGCAGCAATGATGCAGCACAAAGTCGCAGCGTCCGCTTGGAAACCTTCGTCTTTCATCCTTCCAAAGTCCTCAAAAACTTGCGATGAGCTCCCCAGACGACTATATCCCGCAATGAGCACCGTCCAGGTTATCAAGTCTCTTGTTACCAATGAATCGAAAAACACCTGTGAATCCACCATGCTTCCGCATTTGCCGTAGAAATCCACCAGGCAGGAGTGTAAAGTTGGATTTTCCTCGACTCCACTCCGGCAAGCGTCAGCATGGACCTGTCTTCCAGCGTTTAGTGCCGCAAGATCTCCGCAGGCCTTGAGTGCTGTCACCAAGACTCCAGCGTCCCTGCTCTGGAGACCACGAAGCTCTCGATGATTGTGGCAGAGAGCATAGATCTCGAGAGCCAGCTCCGGTTCTTCGTTGTCAACGCAGGCTTGCATCAACGCGGTGCTCGAGACAAGATTGTAACTCGGCATTGTGGTGAAGACTCTCCAAGCATCGGCCAAGGTTCCAGACTTCGCGTACAAGGTGACGAGTTTGCTCGCAACGTAGTATTCCGTGTCAAGACCCAGTTCCAACGCTTGAGCATGAACAGCCATTCCTCTCTCCAGGCACCGGATCTTGGCCAGCTTTCCTCCATCGATAACTCGAGCTTCTTCCTTGGCAGCCAGGCTGATACACGCCGTGAGAGCAGCGACGAAGCTCAAAGCCGTCGGAGCACAGCATGTCGCAAAAATGGTGGTGAAGATCTCCAAAGCTGTCTCCTCTTCCCCGTTCTCGGCATAGCCGAGTATGAGAGAGTTCCACGAGACGACGTCGAGACGAGCAGCTCGGCTGAAAACTCGTCCAGCGTCGGTCATGCTCCCGCATTTAGCGTACATGCTCACAAGCGCACTGACCAAGAACACATCGTCAAAACTACATCCAAATCTCAAAGATGAGGCGTGAAGATCCATACCTTTTCTCAGAGACTCGAGCTTGACAGTTCGTCCATGGATCTCCTCGCCACCCTCCTTGATCGCCAAGTTCGAGCAAGCCTTGGCCAGAGCCGCGAAAGTCCGAGAATCCGGTCGGCAAGCTTTCATGGTGGAGTGATCGTCGTCATGGACCATCTTCGCAAAGTAAGCTACAGCCTGTTCTTCCTGCCCGTTCTCCGCAAAGCCAAGCAACAGCGCGTTCCAGGAGACAACGCTGGGAACTTCCATTCCATCGAAAATCCTACGCGCTTCGACAATGCTCCCACACTTCGCGTACATGTCCACCAGAGAATTCGAGACAAAGACGTTGGAGTCGCAGCATCCAGCCATGGAAGCTCTCCAATGGATCCAAACTCCCATCTCCAGAGCCTCGACCTTTCTCGCATCGTCCATAGCCGCGATGGAGCTACACGCCTTGAGCGCTGCTACAAAGCTCCTCTCATTTGGTGACGATCCCATCCTGGAAAAGAGCTCAAGCGCGCTGGATCCGTCCCCATTCTCGGCGTAGCCCAGCACGATCGCGTTCCAAGACACCACATCGGGGTATTCCAGCGCATCAAACACCCCGCGCGCCTCCGCCATGCTGTGGCACTTGGAATACATCGCGATCAGCGCGCTGGCAACTCGGGGGTGGGAATCGCAGCCTATTCCCGCCGCTTCATCGTGGATTTGCCTGCCGCGATCGAGGTCCCGTGAAACCCTTGACGCTCTCAAAGCGGCCAGAATCATCGACACTCTGCTGGAGCTCTCGCATTCTCCTTCCTGGACGAAAATTCTTCTTCTTCTTCTTCTCATCGAATTGGAAGAGGCGCCACTGCGAAATCCACGATTCCACATCCCACAAATCACACGACATAGCTCCTATTTGCCCTAAAAGGAAGCATTCTAAGCTTAAAGGAAGCAATTTATGCTATTTGCCCTAAAGGAAGCCTTTTAACTAAGCTTGCCACGTCACTTTGTTAGAAAGACACGTGTCGCGCCTATATAGGTTTGCCCCTCCACGTCCGCCATGCTGCCACCATGTCCGTGCGTCACGCCCTCTACTTTCACGGTACACGCCTCCCCAATGGCCATACCGCCGGCGGCTTCCTCCTCCTCAATTACCGCGACGCCGAGGTCGCCCGCGACGGCATTTACCTCGGGCCCGAGGCCCCCATCATCGAGGCCGAGTACCGCGCGCTCGTCGCCGGCCTCCACACCGCCTCCCACCTCCGCGTCTCCATCCTCCGCGTCTATGGCGACTCCCAGCTCGTTGTCAACCACGTCTCGGCGGAGTGGTACGCCCGGAGCCCTCTCACGCAGGTGCTGTGGCGCCTTAGCCGCGAGAGATTTAGCTCTTTCTCGATCGAGCGAGTGCCCAGCTATGGATATAACGGCGCCGCGGATGTGTCGCACGTAGCTGCGAGCTTGCGCTCGGATTTCTGCCGCACCGGTGGCACTCGCGTGTTTTGATTCGACTCTTGCTAGGAATGTAGCTGTCGATCGATCGAATCGATCGAGTTCTTCCGAGGAACACGATCACCATTTCGTTCGAAATATTTTCAAGGCCTAGGGTACAATGCTAGTGAATCTTGTCCAATGCCATGGCGGCAGCGCCTTGGATCGCGCAGCGCGCTCCCGCTCGGAATCGCCAGTTCTTCGTGGCGCCAGGACGGATTCCATCGGATTTGCCAGGAAATCTGTGAGCAGGGTCTATGTCTTGGACGTCCATCCGCTGTGCTACCGCGGGAGCAAGCCGGATTCCAGCGAGTTTTTGTGGTGGATGAGAGCGTTTCTTCGCAGGATTGTGCTTGACGATCCAGTGATTGCTGTAAGTCTCGTTTTGTTGTTGCAGGATTGGATGAAATGCGATTGTGTAGCGCAGGTTTTCGATGGCGAATTTGGGAATGACTATAGGAGAAAAATTCTTCCTGCTTACAAGGCTGGAAGGAGGAAATTCAAGCCTCTAGATCCGAGCTTCAAATGGACAAGAGGTTTAGAGGCGAGTTTCTCTCGTTTCCAATGCTTTCTTCGACAGTGTAACATACCTGTAAGTCCTCGATCTTTCATTCTTCCTTTTTCCATGAGCTAAAACGAAGTTCATTGCTGACAGGTTGTGAAAGTTGATAATGCTGAAGCGGACGACGTCATTGCGACACTAGCTCGGCAAGTTAACGACAGGAGTTTGAAAGCAGTCATTGCATCCCCGGATAAAGATTTCAAGCAGCTCGTTTCGGAAAACGTCGAGCTGCTGATTCCGTTCGCGGATCTACGAAGGTGGTCATTTTACACAGTCAAGGATTACGTTGAACAACACAAATGCGAGCCTGGGATTGAATTGGGACTTCGTAAGTATCCAGTTTCGTAAGTTTGGCTGATTATTCCAATTTTTTTTTCTTTCCAAGGATGCTTGCTAGGGGATGCTGCTGATGGTGTTCCCGGTGTGCCTGGGTTTGGACGGAAAACAGCTCTGAAACTTATGAGGAAGCACGGCTCGCTAGAAAATCTATTAAGTGCAGCGGCATTTCGGACGGTTGGGAAGCCCTACATACAAGATGCTCTCAAGGAGCATTCCGTGTTGCTTGAGAAAAACTTGGAAGTTTTGTCCTTACGCAGGTAACTGGCTATTCTTTTCTAGCAGATTTTCTTATTTCCTTTTTATTGCAGAGATATTAACGTAGAGCTACCAGTTGAGTGGTGCTTGTCCAGGGATAAGTCAAACGATCTTGCTGCATTGCAGTGGCTCGAGAAAGAACTTGAAATGCTGCAGCGTGTCTAAACACAGGTATCTGGCTATTGGTTTCTAGCATCCAGATGATTTTTTAATTTTTCTTGCAGAGATATTGACGTAGAGCTGGTGCTTGTCGAGGGATAAGTCAAGCGATCTTGCTGCATTGAAGGAACTTGAAACGTTGCAGGTTGTTTAGCAGCGGTGAACTGATCAGGCTCGAGGTATGAAAAATTTGAGCTCGCTTTATCGTTTCTTACTACGGCCTTCGTAGAATCCATAATCTGTCCTTGATGGAAACGAAGGTTGGTCCACTTCTGCAGAAACCTCAGGGTCTTTCAGATGAGGATGCTCTTGCAGTGTACAGACGAATGCAACGTCAGGGATTGAAACCAGCCATTGGCATTGTTGTTGGCGCTCTCAAGGTATGTAGAAGCATGAGAGATCTACAACTAGGCAGGAGAATTCACAGGGATGTTTCCGAGACAGGTGACTTCTCAAACATTATCGTCGCCAACATCCTGCTTGATCTGTACGCGAAATGCGGAAGCATGATAGATGCCCGTGCAGCATTTAACAGCATGCCGCATCGCGATGTTGTCTCCTGGAATTCGATCATACAGGGATATGCACATAGTGGAAACGGTGACATGGCTCTACAGTTGTTTGCTCGTATGGAAGACGAAGGGTACAAACCGGATCGAGTATCAGTTCTTGGTGCTCTCAAGGCTTGTTCCAGCTTGATAGAGAAGGATTCCGGGCAGGCTTTGGATGGTCGACGGGTGGTATTCTTAGAGAGGAGCAGGGAGATTCACAGGAAAGCAGTAAAACTTGGCATAGACTCGGATCTCTTCGTCGCGAGCACGTTGATTGATCTTTACGCAAAATGTGGGAGCTTGACAGAGGCTCGTCGAGTTTTCGAAGGAATGAGCCATCGTAGTGTGGTGACATGGAACTGCATGATTCTCGGGTATGCCGGCAGCGGCGAGGGTGGTGAAGCTCTCGATATCTATGCTCGAATGCGTCGTGGAGACACTCCACCGGATGCTTTAACTTTCATCGCAGCACTGAAAGCTTGTTGCTGTCTCGCAGACGAGGAACTTGGGACAGTTGTTCATGGTGAAGAAGAAACGCAAGTCTTGAAGATTCAGAGCTTGGAAAAAGGAAGGGCCGTTCACTTGGAAGCTGGTGAGCACTCGTCAAACATCTTAGTGACCAACACACTCGTGGAGTTCTATGCCAAGTGTGGGAGCATGGTGGAGTCTCGCAGTTTGTTCGACAGTATTGAACGTCCAGACGTGGTTTCTTGGAACTGCCTCACTCTTGGTTATGCTCAGAACGGCAAAGGCGAGCAAGCTCTTGAGATATTCTTTAGCATGGATGAGAATGGTTGCGCTCCAGATCGTGTCACAGTTCTTGCTGCACTAAAGGCCTGCGTCACCTTGGCTGAGAAGGAACAGGGCCAGATTGTCGACGGAGGCGTCGTTAAGCTTCGGGCTTTGGAGAGAGGCAAGGCCGTGCATGCTCGAGCTCTCGCTTTTGTGGACGGAGAAGACCTCTCTGTTCATAATGCTCTCGTTGACATGTACGCCAAGTGTGGAAGCATGGTGGATGCTTGGCTGGTTTTCGAAGATATGGTGGTGCGAGATGTGATATCTTGGACGGGGATAATCCTGGGGTATGCTTGCGGCGGCCAGCACAAGCTCGTCTTACAATCGTTTGAAAGCATGCAAGAGGAAGGTGTTAAGGGAGATCACGTCACTGCTACTACTGCATTTAAGGCTGTTGCGACTCTAGCGGAGAAAGAAGACGGCAAGCTTGTGAAGAAATGGTTGGAAAAAGGCAGAGCTCTCCACTTGCAAGTCGCAGGGATTTGCGAACTGGATGTCTACTTTGCTAGTGTCCTGGTGGATATGTATACGAAGTGTCGAAGCATGGAGGATGCTCGGGGAGTCTTCGACAGCCTCAAAGGTCGGGACCTTGTTCTTTGGAACTCCATGATCTTGGGATACAGTCAGTGTGGAGAACCCGAGCTCGCTCAGGAGTTTTACACTCGGTTGCTGCAAGAGAAAAGCTTGGAACCGGATGGGGTGACTTACGTTGCTGTTCTCAAAGCCTGCGCCAGCCTTGCAGCACTGGACTTCGGGCAGCAGATTCACGTCCAAGCTTGCAGCGCTGGACTGGATACAGAGCCATCGGTGGGAAGCTCTCTCGTTAGCTTCTATGGGAGGTGTGGAAGCATGACCGAAGCCGAGGAGGCGTTTGAGGCAATCGCGGACAAGACGGTGGTGGCATGGAGTGCTCTCATGGCGGGATACAGCAGCCAGGGCGACAGCCTGCGGGTCTTTGAGCTCTTCGAGGCCATGAAGCGTGAACGAGTGCGTCCAGACGGCGTCACCTTTGTCTCGGTGCTCACGGCATGCAGCCACGCCGGGCTGGTTGACAAGGGACGTGAGTTCTTCGAGGCCATGAGCAGCGAGTATGGAGTGGCTCCAAACGTCCAGCACTACACTTGCTTGGTGGATCTTCTGTGCCGGGCAAATCGGCTAGACGAAGCGCTCAAGACCGTGGAGGCGATGCCTTGCAAGGCGGACGCAGTGCTGTGGACGGCGCTGTTAAGTTCATGCCTCAAGTGGAGAGATGTGGAGCTTGGCAGGATGGCTTTCCAGTCGGTTCTCAAGCTCGACGATGGAACAGGCTCCGCGTACTCTCTCATGTCCAACATCTATGCGCGAGGTGAGTCGGATTTACAGCTCCAAGACAAAGCTCCATAGTCATGGGAAACAGTCATGGGAACGATTTAATGCTCGACTGACTGACGCTACTGTTGGAGAGAAACGACATGTTTTACTTCACTTCCATCTCAGGTTGCGTTGTTGTCTTTCTTTCTTATCAGTAACTAACAAAGATTTCCCTTCTGGCAGGCTGAGCTTTCTCCGCTGTTAAGTCGGACACTTTCGGCTGCTGGCAATTCCTGAAACGTCGGGTCACGGTATTCGATAGGCGCTGGTATATCCCGCACAAAGGTGATCCTCTTCATTTTTTACGTTGTTGCTCCTTCACACAAGTCGCCCTCACCCTCCAGGAACAAAAACAAGGTGAGACCCCGTTTTGACCCGCATTTTAAAACCGTAACGATGGCAACATCTCCTTGAATGGATAGACACCAGCACAGCAGCAGCCATCCATGGTGAGCACTCTTCTTTTCTCTTTCACTTTTCACGTTTTTTTCTCTTCTTATGCTGCTGGCCCGTGCATGCTTGCTCGACTACCTTGCACTTACGCTAGGCTTTTTTGCTTTTGTAGAGGCGGGGAGCTTGCGGTGCCTCCCAACCACCAGCGTTTCGAGGTTAGTTTTTGTGTCGAGAACGTGGGCTCGTAAGCTCTCGCGTTTGTTTAGTTCTCGCAGCCAGCGTAGTTTTTACAGTCTTCCTGGATGCTCCAGGACAAAACTAAGCTTTTCTGGGTCCATGCAGAGCAGCGTTTCTGTCTCGTTATAGTCTTTTTATTCTCCTCCTCGTGATTACATCCATCATTGTTTTTGAGCTCCACTTGCCACCCGCTTATGAGTTCCACTGAGATCACCATCTAAACTTCCTTTGTTTTTCTTCTTTTAACAGGCAGGCATGGGAACTCGAGAGAAACGAACAGAACACAAGCGAAGAACAAGGCTAAAACAAGGAGAGGTATGTACTCCTATGCCTAATCCTACAGCAAAGCATGGAAGTTTCTGGTCCCATTGGCACCCCATGTTCGTCATTTTCTCGCTCAACATGCCTTTGTCAATGAGCGTGACCTTCCAGCTCCAGCCAGCAAAAGTGCCAAGAGCGAAGAGCCTTAAGCTGTGACCATGCATTTGTCACTTAGAGCCAGGAACGCTCGTGAGCCCTCTCATTTTTCTTCTGTCTTGCTTGGCTTGCATACCTCTGTGTGTCGAATGAGCTTCCCTTATCCTTGCGAGTGAATTCTCGAAGTGGCTGTCAAAAAGCTCTAAAGAGCTGATCCGATCAATCTCCAAGCATGTTGTGGTGGTTTTTTGTAGAAATTGTGTGACTTGGCTCTGTTTAATCCATGAATTTGCATCTTACACGGCAGGAAGGAGAGCGCTTGAACGTGGATGATGGTGTGCCTTAGATCAACGTAGCTAGTGGAAGCAAGCAAGTTTAAAAAATGGAAGAACGAGGTAAAAACATTGACAGCGAATGAATGAAACGATGAAAGCGTTTTGATCCTGTGATTTCTCCAGGTTTGCGGACATGGTGAAAAGCTCGCTCGCGGTGGTGTAGTAATTTTTGGGCGCAACAAGGACATCGATGTTGTTTGTGTTGGAAATGTGGTATGGTTTCTCTTTGCTTTTAGTTCTTAGGACTTTCCCCTTGAAATGGTTGTTTAAGTTGGTATAGTTTTTTCGTTTCTTCAGAGGGCCCGGGAGATGTCTTACATCCGTCCACAGTGCGATTCATGCACCAGCAGTGGGCTCGAAAAAGGAAGGCATTCACCAATTTGGAAGGAGCTCGCTCGAGCTTGATCAAGCTTCCAAGCGTGAAGAAGCTTTTCCTTCCATCCATCAGACTTTAAAGTATCTCCGTGATCCGTGATCCTCGGTCCTCGGAGGAACACTTCCTCTCAAAAGTAAAAATGCCTCTTTTGGGAGATTCTCCATGACACGATCGATGTGGGCTCCCGGCAGGAGCGCCGCCGCGCGGATCAATCCATGTGGGCAGTCGCCTCCGCGGCCCGGATTTAGTGGGTCGATCGCGGATTCGGGAATCCGCCACGAAAATCCAGGGTGGTCGTCTCCATCGTCGCGGTGAATGCCCAATGTGGGTGACGAGAGGAGCAAGATCAAAGAGGTAAGAAGAAGAATCGATTCATTTGAGTGGGAAGCTAGGGAGAGAAGAGTATTTGGGGATGAATTGGCTTAAGAAGCGAGGAATCATATTGTTACTTTTAGATCTAAAGAGTTATAAATTTCAATACCCATCTGGTATATATGAAACAAGTAAAGATAAGTTTAGCAGCTTGTGTTGGTGCACAATCTGACTATAAATTTAATAAACACTTCTTTTGCATAATCCATTTTCAGTGTGATTGTTTTGTTTGCAAGATTGTGGCCTTTTTCATGCCTTTCTATTGTTGGTAATTCCTTTGAAGCACTATGGAAAGCAAGGGTGCGTTAACTATGGCTATAAGCTATATATGTAATTTATTTATATAATGGTATTTCTTATGATAAAGATTTATCAAGTTTTTTTAATTTCCTGTATAACTTTAATTTGCTATCTTTGATTCGTAATCTGTTGATCAGAACTTGATTAAGGTTGCAAGCTGATGCAGTGGCTATGGAATAGTTAGTGCACCCTAGTGCTTCAAAGGAATTACTAACAATAGAAATGTATGAAAGGCCACAATCTTGCAATGCAAAACAAACAAAACAATCAAAACAATCACACTGAAAATGGATTGTGCAAAATCTTTGCTAAACCTATCTTTATTTGTTTCATATATACCAGATGGGTATTGAAATCTATACTAAAAATCCAACTCTTTAGATCTAAAAGTAACAATATGATTCCTCTAGTCAATTATTGCTGAATGCTTCTTAAGCCAATTCATCCCCAAATACATAGTATCTGAATTCTCTATTATACCATTAAAATCTGTACTTTTTGAAAAGCTTCCCATTTTATAAAATTCTCAATTCCATAACCATCTTTCATTTGCAGATCTGCAGTTAATCTGTTTGCAAAATACTTGGAATCTTGAACTACTTTAACCCCAAGTTTCTTGAGAAGTTGAAGTGATATAGCTGACCGTTGATAACCATTATCAAATGCAATTGTGATGTGATAATCACTGTATTCTACATAATAAAAAGTATTACATATATGCTGATTTAGTCTCTTATATTTTTTGGACTTAGATAAGTTGTAATCACCCATGATACCATTAACCTCAAATGTTAGAGTACTTAGAATGCCACTGTAGTTTAACTCTAAACAGTGTTAATGTATCTAAGGTGAATCCAAAATTATATCGTGATCAAAAATCACTATCAAAGTCTTTATAACTTCACAATCCTCCATCATAAACTTGAAATCCTTAACCTGTGAATTACTGTCGACAGTAATATTAAACTCATTCACCAACTTCTGAGAAATAACATCATAATAAACCAGAATCCCAAACTATATTCAGTTTCCTTTCAAGCCCAGAGTCTCCAGCTAACCTAAAGCTTTTGCCATCAAACCCTAAATTACAAAATCATAGCATCATCCTTTAAAGACTCGTCCCTTTTTCTGGACACTTTATATATGTCTATCTCCCTTCGCTGCGAGGATCGAGAAGGACGTCCTCCTCGCTTTTGCTGAGTCTGGGCAGAGTGAACAAGTCAACAACTTACCCATGGAACTCGACCTTTCCAATAGTTGGTTGTGCTGCTTAAGAAACCACAGTTTCCGCAATGCCCACCAAGGAGCAGTACATGCACAGTCGGGCATGAGCTCCAAAAAGTTTCAAGCGCCTCCACGATGATCATTCCGGGATATGCCTTGATCGTGTTCCAAGAAGTAACGTCGCTCAAAGCCTCCTCGAGTCCACTAGCTTGCCCGCCTATTGGCCACGATTCATGGGCATCGTATACGTCGGGAATAGCCTCTCGTCTGGCCGTGGTTTAAGTAGGCCAGGCTCTTCGGCATTTTGTCCAGCTAGCAGCCGCTTCCTCACTTGTGACCAGGAGTTTGATCCTTGCGAACTTTGACAGGATCCTCCAAAGCTTCTGAATCCTAACATAGGAAATCTAAAGTGAACACGTAAAAGACTTGAAAACCTGGTCGTGCTTGTCGCATAAATCGTCCTTTTGGAGACCATCGTTCTGTGAGTTGTCAAGAAAGCTCAGATACTTCCCAAGTTTCTGTTTAGACACTTCATGCTTCTGCTGAAAGTTGTCAAGCGCACCCGGTCACGCTTCATGGCTTCTTTCACATTTGCAAGAAAGAGGCGCCTCTCCTTCTCTCCTTCCTTTTCGAGAGACTCCTGCTTCCTGAAATCTCTCTTCATCGTTTCTGGGAGCTGAGAACACGCAACCAAATCTACTTCCGACCTAGAAAACTATATCTAAGTGTCACCGTCGTGGTTTTGGGACCTTCCAGCGCTGGTGCTGTCTGATCGTCTTGCTTTGCAGTCGCTACATTCGTTTCTGCTGAAAGAACCTTGCCATCCTCCAAAGCTTTGTTTCTCATGTTTTGTAGAGCTATCCTGTTCTCTATATTCTCCTGGCATTGAGAGCATACACAGATATCCAGCAAGCTTCGAAGACGTCCTTCCGCGGCCTAGAAAGAAGAAAGAAAAAAAACCCGATGGTTTAAACTCAAGAAAAAAGGAGCCTTCCACCAACCTTAGCAGAACCTTCCATGTTCAAACCATTCTCCTCCGAGTTGATGAGCGCCTCAATCTCATTGAGAAGCTTCAACTTCTCACGAGAGCGCGAAGTCCCACAGTTCCAGCCCCACCATGATCCTTCTTCGAGCCTAGCACCCTGGACCAAGCTGCCTTGTTCGACCAAGGATTCGATAGGAAGCCCTTCCCATTCACCGACATTGTCCGAAGAGCATTGCTGAGAAAGTTTGGATCGTGCGGCGGCGGCGGCGGGGGCGAGTGATTGAGCTGTCGGAGGGAGACGAGTGAGGAACGGTGAGAAAGTAAAGGAGGAGGAGGAGTGGCGACATTGATGTCCCTGGAGATCTTCTTGAGCTTGGCGGTGCCGGCGCCAGGCCTCCAGTCCATAGCCACGCGCGAGAAGGGCCACTGGAAACCCTCTACCGTGAAATTCCGCTTCTTGACAGCTTCCATGGCCGGATCATGCTCGCGCTACCCCGAGAGCATAGCACCGCCGCCACTCCGTTCGCGTGACAATGACTTAGCAGTTAGTCGTTAGGGCTTTGCCGATCCCCTAACGGTTTCCGAATGTAGAAGCCTTCTTCCAGATGCGCGATCTGGGCAAATGCTGCTATGCTTCTGGTCCAAAGGATTTCTCACTCATCTCCAGCATTTGATCATACGACTCCTGACATCCTCCATCTCGACAAGCTGCACATAGACGGTGATAAGATCGTTCCACGCAACTGGATCCAGGGACCAACAGTGATCAAAGAGACATGACCATGATCCAGATGCCCGTTTTAGGCATATGCTTGAATCGATTTGGGCGATCGATCGCGGAAAAACATCGTCCAGACTGCTTAGCCGGTGTCCATTATCATCGACGAGAGACCCATTCTCAGCCAGCAGCAATCACGCCATCACTCATCTTGTTGTCTCCTCAAAGTATGCTCCGTAGCACCTGAAACAAGGTATTGCAACAACAAGAAAACAAAAACTTACAGGGGTAAGAACTGTAAGCTGGTTGGCTGTTGCCAGTCATTAGACGAGAGGTAACAGTTGCTTTGTATCAGAGAGGGCACTGATATAGTCGACACCTTGTAACCTTCCGACTTGCAAATGAAATTTAGTTTGCATACACACCGTCAGTGGCTTTGAAGAGCAAAGAAACAAGTCACAACCTTGTAAGTTGTCACTAGGAGGAGAAAAAGTATTAATCCTGCCAAAACTGCTGCTATGAGATAAACAAGATGGTGTTGCAGTACCGGGCAATTTGAAGCGTAGAGATCATTGCAAACGCAAATTATCTGTGCCACAAAAGCTGGTCAGGTTCTCTATACGACGCAAGCTTACGGGTCTAGACAGTCGAGAGATGGCAGTCTTCTTTCTTTGAGGTTTGGACATTTTTATCGTTGTTATCATTTCCAGACACAGCCTTCGCCTCCGCAGTAATCTGTAGAAAGAAAAAAACATTCGATCAAGGTCTAGTAATTTGAATACGTACCAGATCAACTGAAAAAATCGATTTTCCTCCATGCCGCTGAGCGCTCCATCTATTTCATAAAAAATCTGTCCATTCAGTAAATCTTCCACAGAGCAGTAATTTTACCAGACAATTCGGCTTAGAATCCCCTGTGACTGTCTCGATTTGAAGAGCATCCAAAGTTTTGGTCCGAAAAGAAGCTGTGCGATCATCACAGACTAGGAACTTGTGCAAGTGTCGTCTTTCCAAGGCCCGGCGGGCCACGTAAAAGGACCTGCTATAAAGAAGCTATAAAACTGCTGTACATAAATAAGTACCTTTTGATCTCTTGCCAGTCACCTGAAGAACTCTTGTTATCACCTGAAGAACTCTTGTGATCGTTGACGCTGTTCCGTTTGTTCTTCGCCTCATATCTTGTTATCAGCGCTTGTCTTTGAGAACCTCTAAGTGTAGAGTGCCTTTTAACACCGTATATGCAACTGGCTTAAGACCTGCTAATGAAAACGTTACACACAATTTACCTCTCGATTGATCTGTTCATCGCTTAAAAGCTCGGGAGCGACTTCAGCGAGTATTTATCAACCCACAGCTGGTCAATCCTCTCCGTCGAGACAGCGATGGGATCTCTTTCCTTCTCAGTGAGCTCGCAAGCCTTCGAGAAAATCCATGAGAACAAACTGATCAACATTGCAAAGTCGAGTTAAATTTATCAAGCGATCATACCTTTTTTTTTATCAGAGAAGTTTCTATCAACTTCTTGCTCCAACCGCGGTTCCGTCAAAAGTTTCTTCGCGACAATTTTCTTCCCCGGCAATCTTCGAGAACAATGATACTTTCCTCTACGACGGCAATTGGAGTCTTTTCGCATCGTCGACTCCCCGCACACATCGGGAACCACAAGTTTTCTCTTCACTAGGGGAAAAGGAAAAACTCCATGAGAACTTTCCTGGGAAAATTTAGGCCAAACCGCGGCATTCTCATCCTCAA